AAAAATGTGTTTGCAAAGAATTCGTAGCGGGCAGGCAAAATAAAACATCTTCAGTGGGTGGGCATTAAAAATAGGGTTTCTCAGAGAGGAATTCCAGTAGGAGAAGATTTTTAGTCAAAGGGCAGGCAAGTTCCATTTTTAGATTGAGCGGGTAAGGGCAAAATGCAGAATTTTCCGCCGACATCAACAACCAATTTGCCAAAGGGGAGGAATGTTTAGACTGGCCAAAGGGGATTAGTTCAATGGCGCAAACTGCATGAGAATATCCGCCCGAGGCAGACTGTGCCGTTTCATTTGTCATTTCATGGAAAATATGGGTATTATATTACCATTGAATTCGCCTGCTATAAAAAAAACACACGTTAAATTTAAATTAAATTCACATGGGTTTAAGGACTGCACCTGTTCTTTTCAACAATATCAACGGCGTGTCATTCTGCTACAATTTAAAAATGACCAGTAAATCTACTATATTATAATATCGAATCCTGTGGCCAGTTAGTATATCCCTTTCAATCAACACAATTAATCCGTTTCATCATAAATTTATTATTAAAGGTGAATGTCATTACGATTACGAAAATGAAAACAAATGTCCGAAATATAAAAAAAAAAGATTATCGAAAAATGGTTAGAATTTGCATTTTCGCACTATGGTGAAATTATTTCTTAATGTCTCGATAGTTGTCTCAGCGTACAACGTTTAATTTGTAAGTTTTCAGTATGATGATAGTTTTACATTATAAAGAATGCAACGTTATCTCCCATAATGCATTTCATGTGTGCTCAGTAACCTACTTCGTATATATTTACTTTGAATGTCGCCACGCCCAAATACCCTCCTCCCCTAAATACGTTATTCCAAGAATTAATACGTATTAATACTGTTTATATCTGGCATATACACAATATCGTTGACAGCCGTTGATGCATTATACATTTATACATATGATAAATCGAGGGTTGTACCTTCTACTATGACGTTATGCAAAACTGCGAGAGGTAGATATTTGAACGTCCAAGAGGCTCATGTAAAACGTCAAGGCTGGTCGGTTGCCTTTTCAGCAAAGTTGAACTGGTTTGCCGTTAAAAGGCCAAATGTCAAATAACATTATTACTACCTTTATGAAATACTGAACCTCCGATTTCCATTTGAAGTGACATTCAATCCTGTATATATTTACCAGTATTTATTGATCGTACACGCAGCAATTATTACTTCATAACAATAATAATAAAATTAATTTTGATATAGCGCCTATAACAAAGGTGCTTTACTGAGCATAAGAAATCAGGTAATTTTAAGCTCTAGAAAATAGGTAGAACAGTAATGAACTGGGCGTCTTATGAGAGTTCATTCCATACGTTACGAGTTACAACTGAGAAAACCATGTAGTCGTAGTTTTCGTGCAGAGTCCTCAGTTTCAACAAAAATAAATTGACGGTAAAATGAAAACAATTTCAAACTCAAGGGAGGAGGGGTGTTTCGCGTGTTCGGCGCACTTGGTTTCCTAAAAGCTAGAACAAAAATATTATTGCTGATACCAGGAAAAATGAAACATGAATTATTAATTGTATACTCAGTAAATATGGTGTAATTGAATTAACGACGTGTCATTTATAGCAGCCTTTTTATTAAAGCAATTATGCATATATTGTTTGAAATTAATCGGTAATTTTCCAGCTGATTGTGTGTACATATTTACGCGAGAAAATGTCGTTTCACTGTTCGTGGATGATTAGCATGTTGCAACACATCCGGTTTAGTTTGCTTTTTCTATAAAGCAAGATTTTTGTGAAATTAAAATGTTTGGTATTTTGACATTATTGACACAAAGCACATATACTTATAAAGCGGGGGCGTAGTCACCTTCGCACGCGCGGGAATTTAGTCCCAAGCGATGATAACATACTCTAGAAAAGCAAAGGCTCATGGGTAGACGCTAGTTTGTAACCATATGACACGATATGGCCACCTGACGCATGCGCAGGTGACAACTCCCCCGCTTTAACATGCATGTTTGTCACTGGTAAAAGTTAATGAAACAATTATGCGCAATTTTGAGCTATAGTACGAGAGTGAAATATCAACGTGTCTCTGCTCTCTTTACACATTTTGTAGTTTGTTATGATCACGTTAAGTAATAAACCTGCTGATCAAAAACCAAAACATTTTTACATCCGTTTTTTCAGCTCGTAACGATAGAATAAGTCAATTCATAAATAATATGTTGGCTAAGGCAAAAATATTTTGGTACAATCATTGCTCATGATTATTAATTTATGTAAATGAGACAATTATTCCAACAAATCGTGTGATGTGAACCCCGTGTCAATGGCATTGCTACTGACAGGGTCTGCCTGGTAGGTTTCACGATCGACCGGACACATGGCAAATAATGTACATGTACAACATTCAATAAAACTGAACGTATTCAATTGTGGTTCTCAATTATGTCCGTTATTGTAGATTATTTCGAGAACATCCAATTCCAATGATCACCTTACAGCAAGTCTCACAAGTATCGGGGCAGCTAAACTCGCTAACTGCTTGGGGTTTGACTAAACTGTTGGCTTTCGAATCTCAATAGCGCCGTCTTGGGGCTACGATCACTGTAGATTATATAGACTGTAACAAAATGTTTGGTGTTTTGTTTTTGGCATTAATTATTAAATGTGTTTTGTGGAATTCGAGAAAAAAATACTCGCAAATCCGCAATATAGCTAGCATGCGTTCGGATAATTCGTCATAAAAAGAACCAAGTAAAAAGTTACATGGAGTAACATATTGCAGGAAAATACTGATCTATGCATTGATAAGACAGCCCACAAAGACCACAATAAAAAACTATTCCGGCAGCCTGTATTGTATTTGTTACGGCATACCGTAGTTGGACTGCCAGAATGCATTATCCCTCTTTGCCAGTGAAGCACAAAACTTATATCTCATTTTTCTTTTTTTCTGCATATAACTTCGTAATATAATAATTAACTTCTATGATAATTATTATTATTATTATACTGTCAATTTATGTAACATAATATATTCTTATATCTAAATCTTAAAGTTCACTTTTCGTTATGTAAATAGTAATTTTCCTTTCGTTTACCAGTACTTTGACAATTTCTACTTGGCAGTCTGGGCCATGGTTTGGACTAGTCCATAAGGACCATTTCCATGGTCCACACCAGAATTATAGCCATTGTATTTTTTTAAGTTCTGTAAATATGGTCATTCTGGTGAAATAAATGAATAAACAAATGGCGTCGATGGGTCGGCGGCCTTTGAAGTATAAGTCACAAGTATAACGTGTCGTTCCACTATGGTAATCGATCGAACCTCGTACTTACAGCTACGATGTCTAATTTTTGTAAACTTTGTATGCAGTAAATTATTAGTTTTGTCAAACAGCCAATCCGAGTCGAACCGTGCGTTCAGACGGACCTGACCCCGCGCATGTTAGGGATAGTCCTGGTTCAAGAAACGGATTCGAACGGGGTCTACTGTCAGTTCGTACCAGGGTGTTCACCCGACTAGCACGTACCAAAGAGCATTCGTCAGAACGCGTTATGTGTAGGCCAGAACAAATATAAAACAAAACTCCGCAATTTTAAGCTGTGTTTGTACAAAGTTGCACACTGGTGTAATTAAACACCGAATATGGTATTTACATACGCCTTTTCATTGGAGCAATTAACCAATGTATACTGTGTCATTTTATCGATTGACACATTGTTTTCGTGTTAGTTTGTGAGGCAAAAGTTGATCAATATTGATTGATGCATATCATGTTAAAACCGGTTGTACTTACACTGGCGGATGCAGAAATTCGGTAATGGGGGCGCGCTCCTATTGACGTGGGCTGGGTTTGTCAATTTTTTTTGCGGGGAGGGGGGGGGGCGCCTCACTCTAAATCCGCGCGTGCTTTATATGTTATGAAGAAAAAATATACAATGGCAAGATTTTTGTGAAACACATGTTGTTTTTTTGCCTCGTGAGCACGAGATTAAGTTTTTGTGGGAAATCACGGATTTCGAGCCTCATCCCTTGCTGTAGAGTACTCGCCATAGTACTAATTTAGTTTTCCTAAAATGCTAAGCGAGATGTACATTTACACCATATCGCTTGTGTAATTTGGTCATACGTGTGCAACTCATTAATTGAAAGCACTGAACAATACAACATTGATTGACAAATGTATGTAATCGTGTATTTTTTACCTTTATTTTGTTAATAATATTAGTTATTTAAAAAAAAAATACTATATATTAGAAAATTCCAGTGTTAAGGAAGTGTACAGAACCATCAAATTAAAAGTGTGATTTTTGATATACAAATATATAACATGTTCATGCTTGCGGTTTTTTGTAGCAAATATAATTACTCATAACTTCCGTTTTATTTGTATTTCAATATTTTTAACAATGACCTCAATTGTTCGTAGCTCCACTGAGAAAACTTTGGCAGTTAATAAATACCCACAGTTCTCATCGCCATGTCATACTTCCACCGTGAAGTTAACTCGACTGTAATGAAGCGTGCAATATTTGTCGCATTGTGTCTTTTGACAGCAGCGTTCCTCGGAAAGACATCTGCTGCACCTGACGTCGCACGTCGTGCTGGAAAAGAAGACAATGCTCAGCAATTAGGAAGAGGGTCGAGAAATGTAAAAAAGGCGACAGACAACAATAATAAAGCTAAAGTAAGTTGAATTTGTATTTTCTCTGCCAACATGGCTCCAGCTGATGTTTTCAAATGATAAGTTCAGTAAAAAAATTCATAAAACATACTTAATGAAAGTGGGATTATACAAAAATGATAATAAATATTTAAAACACTATCTGTTGGCGATTCGCTCATTTTTGTATGTGTATGTGATTTCCAGTGTCTTCACATATTAATTCTTCTGTATTTGTTTGGCTTGGCCGATTTCGCTCAAACTTGGCAGGCAGGTCACACCTTCACTCTAGTTAGTAAGTAAAATCTAAAAAAAAAAAAAAATAGCAATGTATCTTCTCCTACAAATTTGAGTGTGGGCACAAAGTTACTATTTTTTGATATCTTTCTCATTACCGAGAAATTGTTCACCAAGAACGGCGTGTCTGACAGGGAAGTCACTCTAGTTATGTGGTAAAATCTGAAACAAATCCTGGCATACCGTTGACATGACAAAAAAATACTTTCTCCTCAAATGTATTACCTCCTACCAGTCTTGCAATAGCAGTGTTCAAATTATAATGCTTTTCATCACCGGTGCCGACATTGATATATTGTATAAACGTAATCCCAACACAACTTTAAATGAACTGGTTGAACGATCAAAGAATCTAGAAAATAAAATCGCAAAACGGTCGGAAATAATATTTATAACAGCAGAATACATGCTAGTAACAAAGTGAAGTGACTTCTGAAGCGACTGAATGCTCTTTGCGAACTTCGGATACGGGGCCCGGTTTTAGTTATTATCCAACGTTAGCTTCACGTCATGTCCTACCATGGTAACGGCCGTTTTTTGAGCGTAGCGGATCGCGAACCAGCCTAGCGGCTTGTAACTCGTGTCAGGTAGTTTTAAAATAAAGTACAACATTGTGCTTATTTATTACGTATTACATTTGTTCATTTTGATGCTGATTTTATAGAAAACGATTCATCATGATTTGTTCCAATGAACTGCAAATTAAATAAATGAAAAACCAAACAATTCCATCAATAAAATTATTCGTGGTCCGTGTGCTTATAATGACAAATGATATGATACCTGAACGCAAGTAATATTTACGCACATTTTCACTAGAAAATTGCCGTTTTTCCGAAGCAGTTAAATAACGAAATACAACGCGACGATTCTTCAACATGTTTTGTGTTAATGACATATATCCTATATATATATTTTATATCGCAAGTGTATTCTAATTTGTGAATGGTATATGTTCTTCGCTTTGGTAAATTTCCTGACAAGTAACAAAGAAGGCACATCAAATATTGCTTATTTGCTCATCAAGGTCTCAACTAGGATTAATATCATACACAGAAACTTATATATGATTTAGAAATTAAATTGAGTAGAGCTGTGAGCCAAATTGGGATATATAACTGAAATCAGTAAATAATACCTATATCTGAACCTTTACAATTTGTGCTTTGCAGGAACTCTTGGACATTTTACAAGGAACAGGAGGAAGGACGTAAGTAATTAAACGTTCTGAAGATAGCAAACAATATTCTCTGACTAAATAATATTGTATATTTGAATGTGATACAGTTTTTCTTTCGTCACTGCACATCAAGATGTTAACATAATATAAATTCCCATGACTGATACACCCATACACTCAAATATGCCATAGTTAAATAACTGAACAATTCAAAGCTGTATGTTCCCTCATGCGTGGTTAGTTTCTTCTGGTGTGATATATCAAGCCGATTCATTTAGATCTGTAACCTGGCGCAAATAAGCGCGGTTTGTTGTCTCATTAACATGACATAAAAAAAAAATTTCCATTCAATTTAATTCTTAGTAACAATTGTCGTGGAAATCTTCAGTGGAGGATTTTGCAATGATGATCAGTTCCAGTGCTCCGACGGAAGTTGTATTGGTGAATACAACCGATGTGATTATTGGATGGACTGCTCAGATGGAAGTGATGAACTAGACTGCGACAGCATTTGGTGTGACTATGATGAATATCAATGTTGGGATGGAACCTGTATTTATGGTTCCTGGGAATGTGATGGAATTGTAGACTGTTGGTATGGGGAAGACGAATATTACTGTGACTGGTGTGACTATGATGAATATGAATGTTGGGATGGACATGTATTCCGACTACTGGGTTTGTGATGGTGGTTACGACTGTTGGTATGGAGAAGATGAAGATTACTGTTATTGGTGTGACTATGATGAATATCAATGTTGGGATGGTACATGTATTCCAGACTACTGGGTTTGTGATGGTGGTTACGACTGTTGGTATGGAGAAGATGAAGATTACTGTTATTGGTGTGACTATGATGAATATCAATGTTGGGATGGAACCTGTATTTATGGTTCCTGGGAATGTGATGGAATCGCAGACTGTTGGTATGGAGAAGACGAACATAACTGTGGTTGGTGTGACTATGACGAATATCAATGTTGGGATGGAACCTGTATTTATGGTTCCTGGGAATGTGATGGAATCGCAGACTGTTGGTATGGAGAAGACGAAGATAACTGTGGTTGGTGTGACTATGACGAATATCAATGTTGGGATGGAACTTGTATTTATGGTTCCTGGGAATGTGATGGAATCGCAGACTGTTGGTATGGAGAAGACGAAGATAACTGTGGTTGGTGTGACTATGACGAATATGAATGTTGGGATGGAACATGTATTCCCGACTACTGGGTTTGTGATGGTGGTTACGACTGTTGGTATGGAGAAGATGAAGATTACTGTTATTGGTGTGACTATGATGAATATGAATGTTGGGATGGTACATGTATTCCTGACTACTGGGTTTGTGATGGTGGTTACGATTGTTGGTATGGAGAAGATGAAGATTACTGTTATTGGTGTGACTATGATGAATATCAATGTTGGGATGGAACATGTATTCCCGACTACTGGGTTTGTGATGGTGGTTACGATTGTTGGTATGGAGAAGATGAAGATTACTGTGATTGGTGTGACTATGATGAATATCAATGTTGGGATGGAACCTGTATTTCTGTTTGGAATGTTTGTAATGGCTATGATGACTGTTGGTATGGAGAAGACGAAT